TGTGGGTGTGGGTGTGGGTGTGGGTGTTGCTGTGTTATGCGCATGTCTCAGTGAGTCATATCATAGTTGCCTTTTCCAGTACGGCTCACTGCCTCACTTTGGTTCTCTAGAAAGTCGACAGTACAGTCTGGTACAGTCGACCTACCCTTATAACGATATTTGCGTCCGACCAAGAAATATTGTTATAAGGGTAATATTGTTATAAAGGTAACTGGTTCATTCATACACATACGTCGTAATGCATGAATTTAGTTCGTTTTTTACACTCTTCATAGCGTCAAAAACGTATGTACATGCACATTATGTACACAGCAAGGTGCCCACTGGTGCCCCCCAATGCATTTCGTCATGTTCCAGCGACTTATCAAGTGAATCTTGCCCTACCTTGACAGTGGACTCTACATGCTCCCTGCTGGATATTGTTATAAAATGGAAAATGTCGATTGGTCAGCCCATTTTATATTGTTATAGGGGTAATATCGTTATAGCAATATTGTTATAAGGGTATTAAAGGCGTTGTATACAAAAGTCAATGGAGTGATTTGGTTTGGCAGAAAAATATCGTTATAATAAGGGTAATATCGCTATAGGGGTTATTGTTATAATAAGGGTAATATCGCTATAGGGGTTATTGTTATAATAAGGGTAATATCGCTATAGGGGTTATTGTTATAATAAGGGTAATATCGCTATAGGGGTTATTGTTATAATAAGGGTAATATCGCTATAGGGGTTATTGTTATAATAAGGGTAATATCGCTATAGGGGTTATTGTTATAATAAGGGTAATATCGCTATAGGGGTTATTGTTATAATAAGGGTAATATCGCTATAGGGGTTATTGTTATAATAAGGGTAATATCGCTATAGGGGTTATTGTTATAATAAGGGTAATATCGCTATAGGGGTTATTGTTATAATAAGGGTAATATCGCTATAGGGGTTATTGTTATAATAAGGGTAATATCGCTATAGGGGTTATTGTTATAATAAGGGTAATATCGCTATAGGGGTTATTGTTATAATAAGGGTAATATCGCTATAGGGGTTATTGTTATAATAAGGGTAATATCGCTATAGGGGTTATTGTTATAATAAGGGTAATATCGCTATAGGGGTTATTGTTATAATAAGGGTAATATCGCTATAGGGGTTATTGTTATAATAAGGGTAATATCGCTATAGGGGTTATTGTTATAATAAGGGTAATATCGCTATAGGGGTTATTGTTATAATAAGGGTAATATCGCTATAGGGGTTATTGTTATAATAAGGGTAATATCGCTATAGGGGTTATTGTTATAATAAGGGTAATATCGTTATAGAGGTTATTGTTATAATAAGGGTAATATCGCTATAGGGGTTATTGTTATAATAAGGGTAGGTTGACTGTACATGCACATGTGTACAAATGGTCTATGGAAAATATGGACCTGCCATGATGTCTTGTTGTATATGTTCGGAGCAGTGAGCGTGCAGGCAATTCTATCTGTAGGTACATGTATTATGAGAACAGTTTATTAACTTTATTTGTTGACTTTTATTACCCATGTACTATCATGTTCCTTGTGGACCCCCATGCACCGATACTGGTACATGTAGATGTACTAAAAATTGTGAGTTGCCACTGTCTGGCCTTTACTGTGTTGCTCAATGAAATCCAGTCGTGTCACTCACATACTTGCCGGGCGTTACGCAGCCCTAGACCTGCGAACACTGGGCTGCGGAATGATGCACGGCGCAAACTTGAGTGACATGACTGGATTTCATTGAGCAGCACTGTGCATGCGCTAGTACTTGTGTGCAATATTAAAAATCAGATTCTGGTCTTCGTTGCGTGCAATGTTGAAAATCGAATCCAGGTCTACTCAGAGATACATGTATACATGTGCATCCAACCGTGCCCTCTTCCGTGCTGTCTTTCTCTGTAGGGAATAAGCAGTCTTTAATTCGCGGCTTTAGCTGCATGAACATACTAGCCATGGTCTGGAAGAATGCCACTATTCGCAAGCGTATGCCACTGTAAGCTTGAAGTCAACTGTGGACATTTTAAGTGTGTGAATACAATGTCACTCGAGTAATATGTCTGAGTATATCCAGCTGGTAATTTGGTATCGTACGTGTGCTATTTCCATTGAGTGCACCTTAAAATCGAAGAAGATTTCCAGAACGTTTGGTGCCTGGCACAACTGTACGGGTGAAACGAAGCTTCCTGGATTCTGATATTGTGCGTTGTATGTTGATGTGTGTGTCTCAGATTTCTCCTCTTTGAGCTTCTCCTACCTACGCTGGAGATCAGTCTGTTTTGTTTGGCGATTGGCCGTGCACCCACCGGACTTTCTCTTGGAGTCGTTAACGAAGACGCAGGCTTCTTCGGTGAGTCCCCGGAATTGCGTGTGGATATGGCGAACACATACATGCTGACGTCAGTCCGTAGTATCCTTTGTGCTTCTTTGTGTCCTGGGCTAGTGTATCCGAGCTCGGCATGTTGATTTGCGAGTTCAGAACATGTCTTCTTTATGGCGGTGCTTTCAACTGGCCCCCTGTTCTTCTTGTCTTTATGTGTTTGGCAGGTGTCACATTGTCCCAAACTTATGTCGACTGCTTAGCTGCTCAGAAGCATGTCCTCTTGCAACAGGTAGGCTGTTGTTTTTCGGTATCAGAAGGGCTGAGGGCTGACTTCGTATTTACGGCGTGTGTAGTGTCCGCTAGGTTGCAAGTCATCCAGCTACAATAGTGTGGGACAGTGTCAAGAAGGTATTAGTGCCATTGACCAGCCGTTCAAGGCATGCAATCAAGAAACGGAACGTGAGCCTGACGGTACACCTGACGGAGGCACGTTCACATGGTGTGTGTGTGTGGTGGTGGTGAGGGGGGGGGGGGGGGGGGTGCAGTAAACAGTACAGTGCTGTATAGCATAGCTATGTGCCTGCATCAATCTTACTCTACTTCCAGGCGTCCAGGTAGTGGCTTGGATTTTGAACTGATGTATAGGATGGATTCATGCCATGATGTGCTGATTAACGTTTGTGATCCAGTTGTGCAGTCTGCAGACACTTGTTTCTTTTTGTTGTGTTGTACGCGACAGGATGCTAATCTTTCAATCAGTGATGCTCTACAGGAAGTAAAGAAAGGACGAAGTTGGGGGTATCTGCACTTTGATGAAGACTTTTCTTCCGCTTTTGTGGAAAGGTATTTGAAATCAAATCTTGTTCCGCAACCCCCGTTGTTAATGTGTAGGGATTGAAGCAGGGAGTCGTAAAATACCGGTATTTTACGACTCCCTGGATTAAAGCATAGCATGGTACATACCTGGTAGGTCTTTTGCTTTTACCTCTTCAAAGTTCAAACACTTGCGGTTCATCTTCAATTCTCCATTGCTGTCTGATGACTGGCAACTAGTATTGCATGTATTTGTTGGCATTGAACCTCACATTGACAACTGTTTCTGAATCTCCCTCCTGTGTTCTTGTACTTTGCCTGCTTATGTATCACATGTGTGCATGTGTGCATGTGTGTGTGTGTTAATGCAGGACACAGTCTCCGTACACCGTGGACAACGACACAATCAGCAACTCCAGCATCCACGTTCGCCTGGACATGTCCAGTGAGTCAGCGGAGCATTGCATCAAGGGATTTCTAGGCGTGTGCGATTCAGTGGCAACCATTCGCAATTTTGGAATACATGCACGTGCTCGTGTGCGCACACACGCACACACACACACACACACACACACACACACACACACACACACACACACACACACACACACACATGCACACATACACACATGTCAGTAGGAATCTGGACTCTATTGTTGATCATGTCCAGTAGTAGCACACACTGGAGAGAAGCTTATGCCCGCTGGACTACACGCGTGTATACCACTGTAGCTGAAGCCTTCACTCTGTCCATGGCAATCACGTGCCTCTGTGATGGATTACAAGTGCCGTAACTGCATGTTGTGCTCTGAAGGTTCCGTGCCCGTGAACATGGTGTTGTTTGCCTGTGTCGTGGGTGCTTTCACGTGTACCTCATGACAGATCAGCAAATTGCCCTGGTAATTGAAGAAGACATTACTGCAGCATTTCAGGTGAGTCTCAGGGCGTTTGTCAAGGGAGAAATCCCACGGCTATACGACGCGCGTGCGTAGATTTTGTCTTTGGCGAGAATCCTGAACCCTAGTTGTACGAGTGCATTGCAGCCTGCATTTTCAGACAGTTCCCATGCGGACAATCGTGCATCGCGAATGCAAAACATAGTGCTGAATTCGGCCTAGTTCCATTGCTAACTTTGGTACAGAATGTACTACAAAAAGTGCATTACAGATTAGTATTTTTCTAATTCCCCGCCACTAATTCATGGCCAAACATGCGGCCAAGGAAAAAGAACTGACCACTTGTGTGGACGGCCACACTCGGTTGACCGACAGTCTGAACTCTTTTCCTTGTCCCGTGACCTCAGGTTTTCCCCACGAGTGTGAATCCTCTATTATCTGACTCTAACTGGGCTAGGAATGTAGTGTCGAGTGGCTGAGTTGCCTAAATTTTTATCAATGGCCAAGTCTGCCTCAGCCTCCTCTCATAAAGGCTGGTGTAGTATTAATTTTAGCAATTCGTGCTGCGTACATGCCATGGAATACACCCACCGATGTGCTTTCTTCTCAAATTCTCTTTCTCTTTGTTGGAAGTTTGCCTGTGACCAGGCTGCTGTGCTACGTGTGTGTGTGTGTTTGTGTGTGTGTGTGTGTGTGTGTGTGTGTGTGTTTGTGTGTGTGTGTGTGTGTTTGTGTGTGTGTACATGTATGTATTGGCAGTGCTTTGAGAAGACGCTGCTAGTCAAGTATGCGTCGCTGCTGCATCCAGGCAAGGCCATCAACCCGAACTCCGTGTCGTCTCCCATTGAGGTGGATTGTGCTCTGAGTATTGTTGTGCTGGACTGTGGCTTTTCTTGTGTTCTACTAATGCTACCAGTATTTCTGTTCTTTTCTCTTCCCTCTTGCTATGTGGCTGCAGTAATAAATAGTGCGTGTGTTCTTGCCAGTAGTTGAGTGCAGTACAAGACAAGTACGGGATTACTCCTCTCGCACACGTTCACAGCACACTTCCTTTTACACAAATAGGAAAAAATGAGGATAAATTTAGCTGCATGCATGTAGCATCAGGCAGTAGTCTTTGATATATGACTCTGTTACTTGAATTGTATTTGTTCTGGTGTCTTGGTAGAGGTGCTGGCAAGTCCGGTAATGAGGCTAGACTCATTCGTGTGAGTGTGTGTATGTGTGTGCGGGTGAATGTGTGTGTGTGGCTTTGTGCATGTGTGTGAGTGGCCTTTATCGAATGCAGGTAGGACCTCCCGTGTACGGAGCACTTCAGCCGCGCTTTACGGACTTTGTGGCACCCGGCATCATTGTTGCGTGAGTTGCAAAGCACTTGGCTAAATTTATCCTCTCTTTTTTTAGTACATGTCATGTAGTTTCATCCCGTCCCAAAGTGGGTTACATGATGGTTTCTCACCAGGTGATGGGCAGTCACTACATGCACATGTATGCATGCTGAATTATCTGAGCAGACGGATCTGTTCATCTGCTTCCTGTTTTTTTTTTAGCCTGGTCTGTTTTGCAGACACAGACGCATAAAAATGTGAATGACAACCTGTTCAAATCCGAAACTTGTATATAAAATGAAAAAGACAAGTAAAAGAACCATAAGAAGAAAAGAGGACCAAAATTATAAATTAATCCTTGGCTCTCCACCCGAGTCTTGAAAGAACCATACCAGTAATAATTATTATAGTACAACTTTCCCTCAAACTTATGAATGTTATTTTATGACTTGGGGCTCCCTGTGTGCTAGTTTGTACATGAAGTGTGTGGGTTACAGTGAGTGCTGTGTCCCAGCAGCCTGTGTGGATTCACAGGAGGGGTGAGTTTCGAAGTCTGAAGAAAATGTTGAACAGTCGCTGCTTGTGTGACAACTACACCATAGCTTACATATTGGTAGAGCATCGCTGGCCATAAGCGAGGGTCCCTGTTTCGAGTCCTGGTGGTGACAGTCAGTTTCTTTCTCTGACTTTTTCCCATTTACAACTTTCCCTCAAACTTATGAATACTATAGTAATGTGGATTAGCATATTGGTATGTGATGATAGAAGACAGATACCAAGGCAAGCTGCAGTATACTCCCTGTGCCTCTAACTCACTGGACTAAGTGCAGCAGGAAAAAGAACAAAACTAAAATGGACTCTATAAAAGCCTCTCTTTTAATCGAGTGTGGCAGACATTTGAAACCTGCAGGGACACGCAGCACAGCATTGTATGCGGACCATTTTAGTTTGGCCCTTGCATTGTTAGCCAGACTTCTTAGCTAAACCTGCCTCTCTCTCTCTCTCTCTCTCTCTCTCTCTCTTTGTCTCCCTCTCTCTCTATCCACGTTCTCCTACTGGGCCAACACACGCAGCATGACATTTGTCATGTCCATCGGTCTTACAGCGCTCTCCGTGATTATTGAGCGCAAGCAAGGCTTGCTGGACAGGACCAGAGCAGCAGGTCGGTAGCATTGTGTCTTGCACACATCTGTGTGTGTGTGTGTATGTGGGGGGGGGGGGGGGGGGTCCTGGAATAATGCCCCTGATTTTGCCACTTGGTCCATTTCTTTCTTCGCCGTGTGCTTTGTTCTGGTATCCAGTGTTATTCACAAGTTTTGCCAGCAGTGCATGACCACATCACACAATGATCTACTACTAGTAGTATAATGTCTGGCAGAGCCAGGCTACAGCTAGTGACCTGTGTTGTTTACGTCTGTGCAGCTGCAAGCATGTACGTGTGGCTAAGGGGTCTATTAAAGTGATGAAATGTGAGTGGGGTCAGCACCTAGCAGAGCTAGGCATTGCCAAGAGCCCTAGGGACACGCTGTAGTTGTAGATCACTCGTGAGAGCCTGCCGATGCAATCATGTGACAGTGTACATGTAATGACGATCCCATGGTGATGGACAAGGCCTGGCTCTGGTGCCCCGCATACACGTCTCCTACCTCGCCGTACACAGCCCGTAGAGGTTTGCTTGTACGTAAACATGTAAACGTGAGAGAGCCCATTTGTGCAAGCTCTCGATCGGCTGCTACTTGCATGAATATGTCTGTATGCGTATAATTATGTGTCTATGTATGTACATGAACGTGTGCATGTGTGTACGTGTACGTGTGTGACCATAGGTGTAACAGACATAGAGCTATTAGCTGCGCTGACCCTGACGCAACTGGCCATACTGATTGGGCAGATGGTGCTGATGATAGTAGTGGCTGTGGAAGGGTTCAAGGTGTGTATGTGTGCTGCTCGAGTGTATGTATATTTACCTGTTTTGTCATGCTGCCACGTCACTCAACCACCCGATCACATAGTGCTCTGGAAATTGCTTCATTGAACGTTTGTTTCACACTTTGCTGACACACACTGGAACAGGCATGGAGGGGGTTGTGGGCAGGCATGATGTGCATCATCAATATCGGGACCCACGTTGTATTGTCTACTTGGGCATTGATGGCGAAAGAATGACAGAATGCCACCGGTAATTGACGGATTAGCGTGTTGGCATGTCAGATGTTCTTCTTGTATTTTCTTGTCGATTTCTGTTGCGTACATGTAGGTGCGAAATGATGGCCCACTAGCATTGCTATTCCTCATTGTCATTCTGCAAGGACTAACTGGTTAGTAAGTTACTTCGAAGTATAGTTCAATAAGCCCATTGCCCAATGACGTAATTTATATCGCGGACACCCCACACAGCCACCTGGGCATGGTCGTCTGGGGTGTTGAACAGTGCATCCCTGATCCCAGTGTACTACTTACATGCATTACTCATGCCACCCACATTTGGCAGTACACACACAATGGGCTTATGATTTGTGGTGGGTTTGATCTGCTCACCTCCCACCGTTTAGGCGCTGCATCTGCGCCTTGATCCTTGACGGGTGGTGGCGTTCCTACGGATGCGGAAAACTTGGCTTCCAGCCGAGTCTCAGAACCGTGAATTTTTTTAAATTGATTTGTGTACAGGTGCAATATGCGATACTGGAGAGGTTAAGATGCACGCTATTTCTGACGTGACGCAAAAGTTCAGCTCGCGTTATTTGGCTTGCTCATCGAAAAACAACGCGAGTGACCTGCAGCTCACGTCGAAGTTTGGAGTTCTACGCCAAATTTGACGTGAAATTGCGCGTCACTTTGGAAATAACGTGCATCTTAACCTCTCTAATTTCCTGCTATTTCTCCATCCTGCTTCGCTCACTGTGTTGTTCCGTGTTACTTTTCTGCTGCCGTTCACGCAGGCATGGCGTACGGTCTCCTGCTCTCCGCTGTCTGCTCGGACGAGACCTCTGCCGTCGTCGTGGCAATGGGCTCTGTCTTTCCAACACTCCTGCTCAGTGGTACGTCGCCAATACTGTACTGTCAACCGGCTAATTTTAGCGCCGGTGATATTTTAGCGAAAGGAGTGTTTTTGATAAAGGTTTGCCGCGCCGATCGAAATGTCGCATGTGCAGTAGAGTACATGTACTAGTTACTTTGTTTTTTGTTTTTTAGTCTAAAACTCGAATCGCTGAAATATTTCATTGCGAATTGGTCCACATTCAGAAAACGCTAAAATTTTCAGCCGCTTAAATTAGCCGTTCTACAGTATAGTCAGGATAGTGTGTATGGTGCAATAGTACTGGTAATTCATATAAGATATCTACACTGTAGACTTCTCAATTCTTCCCCTGTATGTAAATGTAGAGCTACACAGAGTCATAGACCTGCTGCAGGTACAGTCAATCTTGCGAGTAACCGCCCTCGATCCCGCATGAGAAAATGTCGTTATTCGTGAATTGTCGTTGTTCACGAGGTTGAAAGTATGCAGCCGAATGGTCACTAGGTCCGAAGATTGTGTCGTTTATTTGTGAGGCGTTGTTATGCCCGAGGTCGTTATGCACGAGGTTGACTGTATGCTGTTCTGTGGGGAAGTGACTGGTTGCAGTAGTGTGCGATAAGACTGTCTACACGTAGCTCACTGCAGCTACATGTACTCAGTACATGTGCTGGCATGTGCTTGAAGTTTTCTGATCAGGGCGCAGTTAACACCTCAGTCATTTTCTGTAGAGTCTAAACACTGTCCATAGAAAGGCATGTAGTAACATATATGCTTTTTTTTTTAAATTCAGATGGCGAGCCAAGGAAATAATAATATTAGGCCACACTTTGTTTTTTCTATGTTTCTCGTCGGCAAAGTTTAACAAAAGGTATGCGCGCGCGGGCGGGCGGAAAAAAAACAAAAACCAAGAAAAAAAACAAGAACAATTTCTACTGAAAACTGTATACATTTTACATGTATATGCATGATTCAGACAAGACACTGCGCATACCATGCACTACTATACAGAACTACATTGTCATGTACATGACTGTAGTCTCATACATGATTGCACTACATTATCACATCAGCCCACGAATATCAGGCAAACTGCAACAATGAGAGTATAAAGTTTGATGAATACGAGATGGCGAAGAGAACATACATTTATCTGCTATCGCATCAACAAACGCTTTCCCACTCATCATTTTTGGTTTTGTTACTTCAACGTTCTTGTGTCCGCTTATCAAACTCTTGTCTCCCCGCTGCTCATCTTTTCCTCGCCATGCGTCTATTGCGGCTTGGATTTTCTGCCCACGACATCGTTCAGCAGACGCCAGTTGCCACGGAACTCGTCCGACTTAGGGTATTCCTGGGATCCACGAGGCTCAGGCAGTGAACGACTTGGCAGCCTTCATTGCAGAGAACGGACGGGGAGCACTCCCTAGTTTTGCTGCTGGGGTGCAAACGTTTACGATTTTGATTGACGCATCTAGCTGCTGCAGCATGTGCAGCGCACATATATGTACGTAGTATGAACTTTTTTTTTCTTCCGAAATTTCTGAAAACCTACGCGGGCGATGACGAGAAACATAGAAAAAACAAAGTGTGGCCTTAAGGCCGAGTAAAAAAAATTACTAGATGATCGTCCTTTTTTTTGGAAAAATCGGGGAGGGCGGGAGGATTTTATTTTTATTTTTTTACTTTTTACCCTCTCATGCACACAGTGTACACAACAACATCAAGGTTTTTTTTCTCTTTTTTTCTTTTTTTTTCTTTTTTTCTTTTTCTTTCTTCAGCAGATCGATACTGACGTTGTGATATACTAGTAGTATGTGGTCCATATAGTAAAGAAAGTATTAAACAAAGCGTGCACATGTTTCCTGCATCCGCGATAGGTAAAAAAACAACGATTTCGGCAAAAACTCACGATTTAAAAAATAAAATATTTCTTGGGGCGCTGACAAAAACTGGGGCGGACGGGGACGATCATCTAGCTTTTTTTTTTACTTGGCCTAATATAATAATAATAAAACATGGAAACAGTGGGGCACAAGTTATGCGTTAGAGTCCACCAGCTAGATCAGCGTTTGAACTATCAGACGTGCACAAGTTAGCACCAGAGTGACAAGGAGTACTGAGATATTCTACGGCATGAAAGTGAGCTTGATCACTGCTCGATAGCGCTAACCAACCGCTTTCCAACTTGGGAAGGTTCATGGATATTAGTGGATTAAGAGGGGAAGGTAAGCAACTTCACTCCACAAGTCCCAGACAACAACTAGGGTTTATTTACATAGAACAGGGAAGGATACAGATGAACTAGCAGGATGTGTATGTGTACACGCTCAGTACACGCTCAGTACACACTCAGTACACACTCAGTACACAGTACGGGGATGTATGGGATGACTGATCCAGGAACGGATCGGGCACGACAATCAACTCATGAGAGTGATCGGGCACGACAATCAACTCATGAGAGTGCAGAGTAAATAGAGAATGCTATCCACTCGTGAGTGAATGTAACAGTTAGCAGGTACAGGTGTTGTTCGCATAGCATACGTCCACCTAAGACGCAGACCGTGTGCGAATGCGGCAAAGGTAGACTGGGATCGGTTTGCAAACTCTGTGAGCACCCTAAGCTGGCTGCACCATTCCTCTAGTCTAGGTGAGAAGTGCTGGTGCTGGAACTTGTCTGTACCAATGGCAGCACCGCGGCAAGGCGACCCTCTGCAGTGATCCTTATGCCAGTACCGGAAAAGATTTCCTGGGCCTCTTGCAAGCAGGAGGACTTCACCTCTAGCCATGCCTTGGCAGCGTTCGGGTGATATCGAAAGTGGGGGCCAGATCTGTAAGCAAGTCGCACCAGTGGTGCACAGCGTGCAATTCACCACCTGCAGTAGAATCGTCAGTATACCATATCTGGTGGACACGACTGGTAGAGACATCTAGAGCAACTGGCAGAGGACTGGGGCGACTGCATAGATGGGCATGGCCAAAGGATCTCCCTGTGTTGTGCCCTCCAGAGACAAGACAACCTCGCCATGCACAAACAACTGTGCTGCTCTCCGGTAGAAATTGGTAACAGCTACAGAGGCAGCAGGGTACAGGATGCGGATGTTGTGGAGCATCACTTGCCGGTTGAGTGCATTGAATGCGTTGAATGCATCGACTAGAAGAATACTCTGGCAGTCATCACTGTGGTAGAAGTCCACCATGGCATGAATTGCGGCTTCTGCACCTGCCACCTGGCCAGCACACACTTGGAGAGCACCAGCACTTTCTCGGATGTCTCGTTTGATGACGGCAAGAATGGCCCGGTAGCGACAAAGCGTCTTAGTACTTCACCGATGCCAATAGGCCTCTCCCCAGGGCTTTATCCAAAGGTATCAATCGACCAGCCACTAGAGCTGCAACACCCATCTGGGTCTACATGCTCTGTGGCAAGACGGCAGGTTGTTGCGGCAAAAGCTGCACATAGATCTGAAGAGGCACTGCCAAACGAGCAGCACATCCGTTGCCAGGCAGTCCAGTCCAAACAGGACACTCCAGCAGCACCACTAAGACGGAGTGCTATGTTCTTAAATGAAGCTGGCATCGATGCTGGCAAACTGCACTGCCTGAAACTGCGCACTAGGGCCCTGCAGCAGCATCTCCGCACCTGGACTGGGGCAAGCAGCTGGGTGCTTCTCCTTGAGAGCATCTAAGGTGGTACGACCATCCCCGCAGTCAGCACTGGGGGCCAAAACGCCACCTTTTCCTTGGTCAGACAGGCAGTGCAGGGCACCTTTCGCGTTGCCAAGTAGCATTAATCTGGCGAAGCCTTTGCGGGCTGAGTCATCTACTGCATTTTTTGCTATATGCAGAGGGTGAAGCAAGGGATCTTCGAATGGCGAGTCCTACATGCAGGAGTCTGGAGAGTGTCTAGATCACCTGCTTGCTACAACTTCATCCACCGGCTGACACGGTCAAGATGCTCGTGGCTGTGCGAGTTGCGATGGGGGGGGGGGGGGGGGCTGTAGACTCAGGGCTGCCATAATCCTGCACGCGCTCTCAGCGCAACAGCTTCTAGGGCAGACTTCGACGCATCGGCGTGCAGGAGTCGGGCCATCTCACGGACAAATCCTTACTAGCACTACCGCACGGTACAGAGAATGGATTTCGTTGCCAGTTGCTAGTCTTAGCATAGATACATTCTACAGTCGGGATGAAACCTCCTGCCTGGACGTCACCTCATTTGTACACAGGATTTGTGGAAGGTGGTAAGTCAGTCAAAAGTAGCATGGGACACCACCACTGAGGCTAGAAGTTGCTCAGCGCAGGTGGAGTTCACGGCAGGTGCGGGTACGTTAGGGCTGTGTTGTCCACTGCCAGTTGCCTGGGAGGCAATGGGGATCGGGGGGGGGGGGGGGGGGGGGGTAATGGGGATCGGGAGGCTGTCTGCATGTGCACTTGCTGCCGAAGATGACGATGGTGTTCATCCATGTGTGTCTTTGTGCGCTTGTGTGTGTATGTGTGTTTGTGAGTGTGTGTGTGTGTGTGTTTGTGAGTTGGCGTACATATGTGTGTGTTTGTGAGTTTGCGTACATGTCCGTGCATGTGTGTGTTCATGCGCACATGTATGTGTGTGTGGGTGTGTGTGCGTGCGCGCGCACTGAAGGCATTCTCTGGCCTCTGCAAGGTATGTCGACATGGCTTCGCTACATCAGCTACTGCATGCCGAATACATTTGCCGCAACGGCAGTGCGTGACATCATGGGAAGAGGTAAGTTAGGCATGAGAGCCAGGAGCTGACTCACCGTGCATTGTTGTTTGCGTAGGGCTAGTGGGGAAATACCGTGTATTGTGCTCTCATACCAGTGTAGCATAACATTTTCCCAATGTGTGCGCCGTATGGACTTGACATAATACGCCGGTGCACACCATAATTTGGCAACTTCAATACCATAAAGTACTGTTGATTCCCCCCCGCGTTGTCGCTTCCCAGCTGGTCTTTCTGCAGTTGGGGGGGGGGGGTGCAGGAATTAGATCAATGCTGCCAAGTGCAGTACTACATGAAAGAGCAGACTTTCCATGCTGGATTGTGCACATTGTCATCCACAGGCATGCCTGCACTGGCACGTATTGTGTAACAGCAGTGCATGCATCAGTTCAACACCGTATTTTGACGTATACGCTGAAGTCGCTTCTCGCTTAGGAATTAAACAGGGGGAGGAAATTAGAGAGGGGGTAGAGCGATGGTATGTGACGCTACAAGTATTTGTTCCGCTGTCCTTTGTCTCCAGGGTGGTCTCTAGGTCATCTTGACGTTGGACTGGGTCTTGCCATCACGTGTGCTTGGCTGATTTCCTTTTTCTTCATCTCACTGGTGTCACTGAGGAGGCAAACTCATTGATAGCAGGCAGCTGGTACCCGGATGTGCCAATCCCTTGATTTTATTTATATACATACATGTATTTTCAATCATGCAGTACCTGGTGCTGGTCATCAGGTTGTGTCAAGCCCTTACTTACTCAATGCTACAAATCTCAGAGCTGTCCATTGAGCAGCAGCTGTTGCTTGGTTTTAGTATTACTATTATTATTTTAGTATTGACTCGGATATTTTTTTAATATATTATTAGTATCTATTCTATATTATTTAGTAGAATGAATTTAGAGACTGCGCTGTAGATTATTGTTTCTCACTAATGACAGTCAATTCTTCTTCAGACTTTTATCTCCCTTTTCAATCCCTGAAACTACTGAATCTTTCTGTTTCCTTGTATTAATTTTCTATTCCATCCCTACCCCTGCGGTGATCTATCGTGCAACGCTTTATTTTGATATCGCTACTTTGCAACTATCGGCAAGTATTCTCAGCTTACAAACTTATGTCAGTTTTTTGCTCGAAAGTATTATATTACTATCCGTACTGAAATATTAATACTTAGTATAAACAAGTTTGAAGAAGGGCTGAGGCTTCCTGCAGCTTCATCTGTGAAAAGAATTCGGGTGGACACACCCATTCCCATAGCGCTGCACATCACATCCGAACCAGTTCCGTTATTTTTACAACGTTTCGGCACTTGGCCATCGTCAGGTAATAGCAATGAATACTGTGGAAGCCACACAAGAGCCGTATATACGCAGAGTATAGCGCCAAAACAGATTAGTATAAACATATTTTTTAAAGATGGGTCATTAGTTAGAAGTAGGGTCTTGCACATTTTAAAGGCGACCATTCTGTCCCTATGTCTGAATCCCTTTGCTATCATGCTGGTTGGTGTTACAATGATGTTTTAACTTTGTTCCAGCTTTGCTTATAATACCATACTTATGGTCATGATGCAGTATGTCTGGCTTGCAATCTCAGGTATGATGCAGTACATGCAGTACGGCTGGCGCGTCTTTATTGCATACTCTTGCTTGTGTGTTTGCATGTAAGTTCCTTTCATTCTACTGTAGAGCGGCGGATGGCCCCACCCTGGTGAATACTTCGGAAGTCACGAGCATTTCGTTGTCACAAAATGTAACGCTAAATTAAGGTCTACGAAAAGAAAACCTTATGTGTTTTCCAGATGCATGCAGCCTGCAGCTCAGTGACAGTGTGATATTGACCTACACAGTACTTACCTGTACCATGGTGTTTATTAAACATGAATATGTGGTCTGCAGGGAGTCCTCAAATACTGTATTCGACGGCTCCCTATAAAAGTTGCTGTAAGACATGTAATTATAACGAGGAAGTAAAAATAACGTTTTAACAAGTGATAATTTTTCGTTATATTAAGTTCTTTGAGGCTGTAATGCCTCATAGCAAGAGTACATAAACCGTTTACAGTCAACTTCGCTTATAACGACACTCGGCAGGGCATCAGAAAAGTGTCCTTATTCGCGAAGTGTCGTTATACCCGAAGTCCCACTATATGTATTACAGTTGGATGGGACTTTGCTCTGGGCATGGAAATTCTGTCGTTATTCGCGAATTGTCGTTATATCCGCAGTCGTTACTAGCGAAGTTGACTGTATGTACTCTTGCTCATAGGTGTCATCAAGAATTCATAAACATTTTTTTATGTACTCTTGCTCGTAGGTGTCATCAAGAATTCATAAACATTTTTTATGCACTCTTGGTGTCATGTGCAGATGTGCCTGAGTGGACAATTGCTAAAGTCGCGATTCGTTATAATAACATGTCTTTAATACAGTGGTCAACAGCCAACAATATGTGCCAGAGCTGGAGCCAAAAGTGCTCTGTTGCTACTGCGATGTAGCATGTGCGATGCGCTCTCCGTTTGATGAGTCGACAGAGCATGCATATGCAGCTGAGAGCGACCCCACTTCATGAAAGCACACACGGCGGGTGCACGTGCAGACGTACATGTAGCACAGCCAATCACAAACATGATAGCAGCTGTGAACAGTCACATCAAATCATTGCATACAACACAGAGCAGGCATGGCATATCAGCAATACGTTGTAACACTGTACATGGGACACAGGGAGTCATATTCAAACCAGGGTATGACTCCCTGATGGGACATAAGCATAATAATACAGAGTAAAAAATCAAAAAAGCAGGCAAACCATATGCACATGTACATGCGGCACAGCCAATCACAAACAGTCACATTCACAAGAACAGAGCAGGCATGGCATATGATATGGTACATTCGCATATAAAAAAAAGAGTAAAAAATCAATTCAAATCAAAAGTAATACATGTACCTATACTATATACAGTTGTACAGGGCTACAATCACATACAGAAATTAAAATGGAATATTTATATTTATATGTGTGGAGTTGTTTAGGAGCGCTCTGCAATCTGCGTCAGATGATGGTCAATCTCGGATTCGGTCATCGTGTTAAACGACATGCGGTCGCGCGTGACAAGGCCAACTTCAATTTCCGACGGCTTGAAATCAGCAGCGAGAACAGTGGCCAGTGTATTGATAGCAAGATGAATGGTCTCATCTGCCGTCATCTCGACATTCTGATCATGCTTCTTCCGTAATTTCTTCTCGAGATAGTTATTTGCCTCGGTCGACTTCACACCAGCACTGGTGCCACGGAATCCACACACAGTTCCAGAAGGGTCCACTTTGTACAGTGCAGGCATGTCAGTCTCCTCATCCCACCCGGTCAGCAGCATAGAGCATCCTAAAGGTCTCATAGCTGCTACTTGAGTATAAACCTGGTTAATTTCACCAACTCTCCTGGACAGGATGTCAGGACACATCTCGTAGCCGTACTTGTATTTGAATGCTGAGGCTTCCTGCCGGGCACGTTTGACCTGGGCTCGACTGTCGGCAATGAGTCCAGTCATAACACAACCAGATCTCTCACTCAATTTGAACATTCTGGTTACTGATGATGAATCAATCAATTTATCAGCAACTTTCTTCTGCGTAACAACTACGGCACAGTCCTTTCCACGAACACCAACAGAGGTGATTCCACCTTGGTTAACAGCTTTGAAGGCATATTCCACCTGATAGAGGCGTCCTTCAGGTGAAAAGATTGTGATATGGCGATCAAATCCAGTTCCTCTTTGGTTCGCCATTTCTAACTTTTCAACTCAGCAACTCAATCAACTCAAAATTTCCAGAAACCTCTGTGGAGCATGCGCATTTATGCATTATTTTTGCTATTTGAACTGGATGAACTGTCGATTGTGACGTCGCCACGTTCAACAGTCAACCTTGGAAATGTGGAATTGTTTTGACGGGCTGCACATTTTCCACTGCACCAGTCTTGTAGTAGTGCATTTATCATGGACGCTCGGTTGTACGTTGTGGTGGCAGATCTACCATGAATGGCATGATTGCATGCTCTGATGTGAAGGTTGAAGATGTCTGGGAGAAGAACAAACCTAGAAAGTGAAGCTTTGGCGTGGGAGATTCGAGATATATTTTCGGGGTCGTAGTTTGGCTTCAATCAGTAATTCGAAATACTAATTTCAGCCACTGAGCTGTAACTGGGTTTTGCAACTTCTTCGTTTCTTGTAGCTCTAAGCACTGCCCCTCGAGTGAAACCGATAAGCATAAAGCTACTGTACCTGGTCAGTTCGTGGATGAGGGCGAATACAATCAGTGGAGTACATGGTAAGTCATGTTCTACTTGCTGTCCATGATGGTTACCTCAACATCGCATTGACAAGCATTATGCTTAGAAATACTGGGACGTTCGGAAACTGATAAATTATCAATCCTGGACCTGCTGGCAGCAGCCGTTGTGATGAAACATTGACAGCTGAAGCTTTCACAAAATTAGCCTATTTAGGTGGACGAAAAAGCAACCTTGTATTGCTTGTAAAAAAAAATCAACAAATTTTGTCAAAAGCCAAAAAAGAGCGAGTAGCCATGTGGTATGGCAAATATACTAAACAAGACATAGTGGATAATACGACATTGGGGACGGAGATAGTGTAGCAAGCTTACAATCCTTCAACAGTGACTGGGATAGGATGCTGCGATAAGCTCTTAGTGTTACTCGTTGCTGCTGCTGGGACTCAATGGACTGAGCAATGCTAATGATACTCAAACTACTGGTACTCTACTCAGTCGCTGGTTCAGTCGTGAAGAGCGTCAGCCGCCATGCTGTAGTCTCGGTTTCCGTCCACTACGTGACATCCTGTAACCAGCCGACAGCACTGCCTCACGACTAGACTTACTGAGATGGCACGGGATACGTGAAGTTGCGGCACAGCCATGCACATGTACTTGCAAAAGAACAGCACATTCTACGTCTTTGGAAGCGTCCGTGCAAGTACGGCTGGCTGAGTGGCCCACGACTGGTAGACAAGTATGACATACTTGTATAATTATGACAGATTCTTGTTTACATGTCTCCAGTATAGACACAAGCGTGTTACATTTATACATGACCTTTTTTTCGGTTAGATGACAGGACTGGTGAAGCACACAAGGATGAACCCTAATGAACCAAGACGGCGAGAACTTGACTGAGCGGGTCAGACACTTGGGGTTAGGATGTTGTAGGAAGTACGCGGGCGGTGGCGAAAGGTCTTGGAGGTGATCTCGGACGACCAGTCGGGCGCTATCGTGAACTGGCCAATATGCCGTGGTCTTGTCTGACCAAACGCCGACGAGGTGTTCTCCGTTGGGTCCATGCTGTCGCGACGCTGGTAGCGCATCACCTCCGGTGCAGGGTTGTGTGGTAGTGATGCCAATAGTTGCTTCTTGCCTATGTCGGTGAGACTGCATGAGAATGGGCACAAAACGTAAAGCAAGCAACAAGTGCTTATATACTCTTATCTCTTTCATCCAGGCCTCAAAGTTTCAGGTACCTCAGGTCTTACGGGCACCCTGTGGGTGAGTCTCAGTAGAAACAGTGACGCCACATGCCAGATCTCTAGCCCTTCACCATTAGCCCAAGATTACAATACGATCTTGCATATTGCTGCAGCCCCCCCCCCCCCCCGCCCAAAAAAAAAGCTCATCGGTACGATCAGTGCAGCAATGTACTTAAAATGCATCGTTACCGGTGTGGCCGTTCTCTCCGTCGTCATGAGTAACACAGTACTTGCACAGCATGAGAGTGAGTCATGCAAGGCTGCACAATCATGCAGTTGACTGAAATTCGTCTGAGGTGATCATGTACAACAGTTACTCCGAGACATCAACGTACATGTACACTATGCTCACTATCAGTTTACACTAGAAGAAGCTTTGGATAAGCCTCACTCCAGCCATGATGGCACTTATAGAATGCAGAGAGAGAGAGAGAGAGAGAGAGAGGCAGACAGACAGACAGAGGGTCTGAGAGATACCGAGAGACAGACAGACAGAGAGCCATCGAGAAAGCATGCAGCAAACCGAACGGGGCCATACGAATACATCACACAGGGCTTATCCGTTTATATTTTGCCAGAGCGGCGTACACCGGCTATGGCAGTAGTTATACCTTGCAAAGGACTTGTAGAAATCCTCGAACTCTCTCCGCTGGCAGTGTTCGCAACGGGAGCTCTGCGTGCAGCCAGCATGGTGTCCACCCATGATTCTGGTTGATTTGGCTTTCAGGTGGCTCTCCCCTGTCGCAACAGAACAGAACATAGCCGAAGGGCAAAGAAGGAGTGTGACTGTATTGAATGTACATACAGTCGTCCCTCTTTAATCCAGCACTTTATAAACCAGCACAATTTTCAGTAGCCAAAATGTCCTCTTTTAAGAGGACAAATGCATATTGTGGCAGTAAATCCGATTTGTTAATCCAGCACCCTCCCTAATCCAGCACAATTTCCGTAGCACAAATGGTGCCGGATTATAGAGGGACCACTGTACACACAGTGTAAGTATTCCTCTGGCCACACAGCGCTCAATACAGCAAATGTGTAAGTATTCCTCTGCCCACACATTGCTCAATACAGCAAATGGCAGAGCTTCCTGGTTCCTTGTTCTGCCTTACTAGTATTAACACATCTGTATGTACATCCCATAACCATTCTGGCCGTGTGGGCGCCAAAGGTGTCGTACGGTGGCAACAGCAGCAGCAGGAGAGAGACACAGAGAAAGACACAGACAGTGACACACACACACACACACATACACATACATGTGCGCATGAACACACACATGCACGCACATGTATGCAAACTCACAAACACACACACACACACACACACACACACATGTTCGCCAACTCACACACACACAAACCACACAAACCTGTCCCCTTGGAAAAACGCGATTCCGCGGTTGCGGCAAATTTCGCAGAAATTGCTATCATCCGCGGAAATCACGGAATCTACACTTTTGCCCGCGGAATTCGAATTTTTTAGGGTAAATTAGTAAAATTACTACTCAAAAAGCAGCAATCTGTTGCAATCTGTTGAAGCACATTATGCTCTTGCCAGTGTGGGTGAGTGCAGGATCTCCAAAATTCTTCACTCTCATGTCAGCTTGTGACTGCAAAGGATAGTGTGAAAAGTGCTCCTTCATGCAACTAGTTGTCATATCCTCTACACGGAGGGTGAAAACTTGCAGAAAGTGCTGCAGATTTTTGATTTTACCACAGAAAATGCCGCAGAAAACCCCCCTTTTCCCCCGCGGAATTTTGAATTATTGGCCGCGTTTTCCCAAAGGGACAGACAAACGTGTGATCGCACGTCTTACCTGCCCCAGCGTTCTCTCTAGGAACTGCCCACTGGTGAGACAGCACCTTTCCTGTCGGCTTCTTGAGACTGATACGGTGTGGTGTGGGAGGTCTCTACAATGGTAAGGCCAATGGGGGAACACACACAATCAGGACACGTGTCCTGTAAGCTGCACATACTACTAGTAGCGTGTCTTGCTACCGCAATACAGAACAGCTATTGATACATGCAGTGTGCCTGTTTCGTCGCTCGTCGACTCAATACTGTTCCACTGATGCACATGATGCAGTGAAGTGACAGTCCAAGATCACTAAAGTTCAACCCAGCTTTGTGTAGACCCAGAGTACTGACTGCATGAATGCTGTGTAGCAATCAAAGGAACGTATTCGGAGTAATACGGCAACAAGTATGTCATTGTGACCGCTGCCATTCAACCGACAGCCACATGACCGCCTTGACAAGAATTGTTACCACATGCCATACTCTGCTGTGATATCAAGTCCTATGCGGTGATATTCTCCATCATTATTTGAGTAGGTGGTGTATGTTAGGGGCCGTCCAAGGTTACCAATAATATTTTCAAAACGAAATGTTTTCGTTTGTGGGTGGGTGGGTTTGATGAAGTTTCGTTTTGAAAATAATTATTGAATGCTGATGGAGAATGCCCAGTTACTTCTGGGTGTCGAAAATTGACATCAATATTTTATTGGAATTCGTTTTACCTGCAGAAAAGGTGGGTGGGTGGGTGGGGGCTGAAAAATACTAAAACTTTTCGTTCTGTAAAAACAATCGGTAACCCCGGACGGCCCCTTAATGGGCCCGGCTGTACGCTGCTGTCATTAAAGTGTGCACGCGTATTATTTAATATTTGATTTCTGCTGATCGTTGCAGCTCACCTTCAAAGCGCTCTTCCGGGGAGCTTGTTCAATTTTTCTCGTAGATATGTGAGGCGTATCTGAGAGAAAAAATGAAAGAGAGAGAGAGCCAAAGGAAATCGTACGCAACGAAAATAATGTATTTGTTCTTTGTCCATGATGGAAACGCTGTACACTAGCAATTCGTGCACACAGTGCTTCCATGGCACCGATGAGCAGATGTTTTGCACACCCTCTTTGTAGTAGAATACTATAATGGTCTAGTACATGTACTCCAGTAGCATGCTACTTGAGCTGCAAACCCGCCATTCACAATTTCACATGTTGATCTACTGTAGTGAGGGGTAACCGGTGCCAGCCTGGACAACAGGGCCCTTTCTGCATCGCTCAAATGCCAATCAAGCTAGTATTCAGAAGTGATAATGGTGGGGCAATGTTCCTGCACAACTTGATGAAGGTCATTCTGCTGGTCGATGAGGATTTTGCCTGCAGTAACTTGGATGTCCTCCGACAATCGGGTCTTTTCACATATACACATCCACAGCCACAAAGAAGGGCAGAAGAGAACAGAGAAAAACCGGCTAGGTCATTGTTGTAAGTTGTTGTTGTGGTGGTGGTGGAGGTGATAATTTTAAGAGATAGCACGCTGTATTGCACCAATACCGGGAGAGACTTACGGGCTCTGATGCCGGGCTCGTCGACTTCAATTCTGACAAGTTTGTTGCCCGGCTTCTTCAGTGAAGGTCCCTTGGCGCATGCTGATGGCTTCAGCCAGGCTCTTAGCTTCTTCTCAGGTACAAGAACAATCTCAGGTTTGCCGACCTAAGGAAAAAGGTTAAACAACATCACTTGGCTACAGAAAGAGGTCAAGAGAAAAGGTCACCACCGCCAGTCCTAGTTAGGAGCATGACTTCAAGTAGCACTACAGATTTTAAAGAAGAAAGGACCAAAGGTTTACAAGTTACTCCCCCCCCCCCCCCCTCTGATTTTTGCTGTCTCACCTTGAGCTGGTCACCCTGCTTCTCGTCCGAATCATCATCATCAGAGCTGCTCTCATGCGCTTCTTGATCTGTTGTTCTGGTCGGCTGGTGCAGGTGTGCCCTGTCGTCATCGTCTTCATTGTCATCCTCGGGTCTATACCCGTAGTGCTCGAATATGTACTGCGGCGGAACTGCCATGAAAACATACCACGCAGTGCACTAATGATTGAGTCACTCGGTCTCTTCCGAGTTAACGGTTCTGTACCACACACATGACCCCCCCCCCTGTGAACATCATGGAGAGAGAGCTTTAATTAATTCTAACGTGTCTACGTGGTCATAAGGAATATTGGTATCCTAATGGTGTGTGATGGCCCAGCAAAATGTTTTTTTATGGCTTCAGTAGGGTACACCGAGGGCAAGTTACATGCACTGCTCGTTTCAAAAACACAAACTATACATACAAACAGCATGGTTTCCTTCTGGTGATGATTTAGGGCAACAGTACATTGGAATAAACGGCACATACACGCTCAACTCTGTGTACGTTGCTGTAGACCGGTTCTACACCTATCACATGACCATACGAGACAGCCGTGCTGTTTCCAGCTCCAGTCAACTCTTGCATATATGGTTCACAGGATGTCGGCCATGTTGGTTCCGTGGCCACTGTCCACATATGATCATTTTCTATCGTCACTGAATTTAATCTCAATCATGAAAAAGATGTGAAACTACTATGTGCCTCTACAGTAGACTTACTTGGAGGATTGTACTTGAGTTCCCTGCGAGCTGCCTCGACGTAATTGGCCGGATCATATGGGAGGTTTTGGACTTTGGTTAGGACCTCGGTTTCCCCATCTCCATCTGCAGTACATGTGTATTGAAAACAGCGGCGGCCATGCCACGGTGAGCAGCTTCCAGCCTTACAATGTACGTGCGTGCCATGATTGATGCACACATGCCGACTGGACCGAGTCTTGGCAGTTTGGGCAGTGTACAGTACAATGGCCTGAGGTTTGTACATGGCCCACACACGCACGCACGCACGCACACACACACACGCACACGCTGACACACACACACACACACACACACACACACATACACACATACACACGGCACACAAACACACACACACGGCACACAAACACACACACACACGGCACACAAACACAAACACACACACACAAACACACACACACACGGCACACAAACACACACACACAAACACACACACACGGCACACAAACACACACACGACACACACACACACACACACACACACACACACACACACACGGCACACAAACACACACACACACACACATACACACACACACATACACACACACACACAAACACACACACACACACACACACACACACTGACACAAACACACACACACACTGACACAAACACACACACACACACACACACACACACGGCACACACACACACACACACAAACACACACACACACACACACACACTGACACAAACACACACACACACACACGGCACACACACACACACACACACACACACACACACACAAACAAACACACTGGCTCAAGTTACCATTAGACATCATGGTTGTGCTGTAGTCCAGGTAGAAACCTTCCTTTGTCTGCCTGCGCAGTGTCTGCGTGGTCCTCGTCATCCGTCCAGAGCCAACACTCTTGTTCGCAGGTAGCCGCCATCGAAGGAAATCCTGAGACGGGGGTTGACATGACAATACAGGTACAAGTACACAGACAGAAGGACGAGCAGTTGCTGTTTCATAATCCTGAGTTTCACGAATTGCATCGATCATCAGATGAGAATTGACTTCACTTGGTAGTAACACAGCCAGCAGGTATACACCAAAGAATGATGCACTGCATAAGGAAGAGTAAGCACCCAGATGGCACAGTCATGGGCAAGCTGGAGGCACAGTCATGGGCAAGCTGGAGGCACGGTCATGGGCAAGCTGGAGGTACAGCCATGGGCAAGCTGGAGGCACAGTCATGGGCAAGCTGGAGGCACAGTCATGGGCAAGCTGGAGGCACGGTCATGGGCAAGCTGGAGGTACAGCCATGGGCAAGCTGGAGGTACAGTCATGGGCAAGCTGGAGGTACAGCCATGGGCAAGCTGGAGGTACAGCCATGGGCAAGCTGGAGGTACAGTCATGGGCAAGCTGGAGGTACAGTCATGGGCAAGCTGGAGGTACAGTCATGGGCAAGCTGGAGGTACAGTCATGGGCAAGCTGGAGGTACAGTCATGGGCAAGCTGGAGGTACAGTCATGGGCAAGCTGGAGGCACAGCCATGGGCAAGCTGGAGGTACAGCCATGGGCAAGCTGGAGGTACAGCCATGGGCAAGCTGGAGGCACAGCCATGGGCAAGCTGGAGGTACAGCCATGGGCAAGCTGGAGGTACAGTCATGGGCAAGCTGGAGGCACAGCCATGGGCAAGCTGGAGGTACAGCCATGGGCAAGCTGGAGGTACAGTCATGGGCAAGCTGGAGGTACAGCCATGGGCAAGCTGGAGGTACAGCACTGTACATGCACTATGAGAGTACTATTACGCCGCACTAGCCACATGGATACCGACATCAGCAAGGATTAAGCCACATTGCTTGTGCATACCTATACACATCACTGTCTCCTGCTCTTTGCGACGCCTTAGCACTGCAGCCCTGTGCTGTAGTAAGCTGTATGGTCACATGATCCGAGATGTAGCATCGCTTCCTAGCTGCAGAGCTGCCGAGCATGCAGAACACTCTAACACGCTTTTTTTAAAACTCTGAATGTCTTGGGCAAAGTTTCCTTTCCAAAGGCTCTGTTGTACTGTATTCTCTCATGTGGGCCCTTCGATTGTTCATTAGCCCCGCTGAACGTGACAGGAGCCTTTGAATTGTTCGGTTCAGTCATGATACAGTACAACACCACGTCATGCAAAACTACTTCCTGCATTAAGCAAAACTTGTGACTTCGTTGCATTTTTACAGTTCAGTCCAAAGCATTCTATGACTACCAAAACACTTCGCAAAGTGGAAAACAAAGCAGCATATGAGAGATAGTTATTTACAGATGCCACACAGCTCGTTTCAAAGCAGTCCAGCTTCATTCTTCGTCTGAATTTGATGACGACTCACTCCTTGATGACATCGAGTCGGCATCCTCGCTGATTTACGCCTCCAGCGCTGCCAGCTTTTGTCCTGCATCTTTTACAAGTTGCCGAGACACGATTTGATTGTGGAGAACTGTTTTGGACTGAACTGTAAAAATGCAACGAAGTTTTGCTTAACGGAGGAAGTAGATATTTTGCATCTACCAACCTCGCTTGGATGTGGTCGGTTTCGGGAGCCCTCTGCATGGAACTCAAACCCATAGTGGCTGTTACCCGGATCAATTGTCTCCCGCAAATGTGTGCTCCACTCCTCAGTCGGCTTGTTTCTGCGCACTGTCTTAACCATCGGCCCTGTACACACACAAGCGCAACAGAACACGCCGTGGTGAAAGTATGTGTATAGTGGTGCTCCATGAAATCTGCTCCAATGGGTACGCTCAGCCTCAGTGTAAACTGTAAATGCACAGCCTAAACTGACAGCAGGCCCGTGTGGGGTACTGGGGGGGGGGGGGGGGAGGGGGGAGGCTGGGGCGGGGTGATATGGGGCTACGGAGTACGGGGCCACGGAGTATGGGGTGAATTGCTACCACAGGCAATCATCGCCAATACCAATACCAATACCAATACCAATACCAATACCAGTGAAGTGTGGAAAGTCACTTAGGTTCACTGCTGCGGCGGCAGGGACGTCCAATAGGGGCGTCAGACACAGTATGGTCACTACACTACGGTTTTGACCGTAACACTCTTAGCCCCAGGTACCCCATGAATGAATCAATGTCATAGACTTAGGCCCTAGATTTCGAAATTTTGCAGCGGAACCACCCCCTCCCAACAAGTAAATTCAATTGTGCCTGAGATGACCGACCGTCCTAAAATTACCTTCTGACACCCCTGTGCGCTACTGCAGTGTGCGCAAAGGTGCCTGAACTACATAACCACTTCAGTTGTCTGAGGTTTGCCTTAGCTTTGCCATGTGCATGAAACGCAGCGCTACAACAATGACCTAGCCGGCTGTCTCTGTTCTCTTCTGCCTTTGTGGTAATGATCCATCCTTGTGGTGTTGAGCACTCTAGGCAATCTGGGAACTCTCGCTGTACCCACTACATGTGTATACCTGAACGAGTTACACCTGGCTATGGTCCAGATGCCTAGTCAATGTCGTGGCAGTCTTAGGCCAAATTTCATTCACTATTGTCGAGTACTGGCCCTATTGCCAGTATTGGGTAACCGCCATACATGTATTGCATAGACAAAATCACATCAAGCTAGTGTGTTTCATCCACAGCTTTCGCACAGTTTGAAAGGCAGTGAGTGTGGATTGAACTGACCACTAGCTGATCTCCGTCGCAGGTAGTTGGCTCCGGGTAGTCTCTGTCCCTGGCGGCTCAGGCTGGTGCGCATTTCGTCGAAAGACATCGGTGGCGCGGCGACCATGCCGAGCGGACCCGAGTCTGCCAGATTCCCTTCCAGTCGGCCTTGTGCCGAGCTAACGCGGCTATGCTGGGGCTGTCTCGACGGTCCATACCTGGACGTCGACATGATAATGATGGTATGGTAGCTGGCTGGTGTTAGTATTAGGCAGGGAGGACTGCCACTGCGACTGGCGACAACGTCGACAATGCAGTTGCTTTCTCTCAGCGGCAAGTGTTTCGGCAACTGAAACGGGCGACGATGGTGAGCTTGCTTGCTGATTGACGTGGCTCGACCTCAAAGACCCATGAGTAATGACTGCGAAAACGGCCACGCAAGATGATGTAGTTCGGTGGTGTACTTGTAATTGTTTGAACAACCAGGACTCAGGAGACTAAAACAAAAACAGTGAGCCCAAACGGCGTGCTCTCCACTTTTCTACTTTTCCAAGTTTTCGTTGTTTCTTTACACACTGTACTACAGTAGTGATCCTGAAAGGACGAGAAAACAGTCAGTGCATTGTACTTGGAGGAGGCTTGGGGCCGGGGGCGACGGTACTCGGTCGCACCTACAGCTCCGAGTTGTACGACCGTGTTACAAGGAACAATTATTATCCCCTCCCGCCTACAATACAGGCTACATTCACCATGCCATGCTGACACACTGCTCGATACACACGACCGATTTACAGGTAACACGCATGGCCAAAATCATTGGACGAGGAGCGATCACACAAGTCTGTACTTACTAGTCTTTCTCTCACTACGAGCGTACACTCAGCGTCTCAGCTCAGGTGATTGAAACGGACACCTGCCAGAAGTGGCACGTGAGAAAGAAGGACCATCATAAACACAAATCGGTCCATGACTGGCATGAGCACCGCAAAGATGTTTTGGACGCACGTGAGCTCGCAGACCCTTTACTTGGCCTAATGCAGTAATGGCCTTGCCATAGCTAGCGGCTAGCTCTAGGCTAGACGTCTAGTACTAGTATCCCTTGTTGTCCTCATGACTCCATGTCCATGGCATGAGTATCGAGTATGGTTATCATGGTTATTTCACCATGGGCACAGAACAAGAACTGCTACTTTTAGTTTTAGTAGTTTTACGTTTCAGTTTTACTTGCTGGATCGACCCCTGACTGAGTGATGGTGTGTGATGGTGGTATTCACCTGCTACTAATATTGTCAGTATTGCATCTATTCTTGATTGCCTACTGGTTGCACTACAGCTACCGTAAAGTGTACTAGTACCGGGTAGTAGCTATTATTACCACTGCATTTTGGTGTGTGAACCAGTGACGTTGTGACCAACTCTGAAAGTAATTACCGGTAGTTCAGACCGAAGTACGAGTTGCAACGTTTGTTTGTAGCTATCTGTGTTCGGTAGCTTTTGTAGGAGGACAGGAGATCGAGAGGTCGCTACTTTCACTTTGGAATCTCCTACTCCGCAGTCGGATTTGACTTGGCTGTTACTTGATTATTCTCTATGGAGCCTAGAAAACGTCTGAAACTGAAATAAGCAGTAAGTGCCCGATGGATGATAGTGAGCAGTCGTGTGTGGTCAAATCATAGGGGAGATTAGTCTCTGAAACTGAAGGGGGCTGCATGTAAGCTTCACTCCGTTTGGCTGAATGTATGCTGAGTAGATCCACCCTGAATGCAACAGAATCATTGCGTCGGGCTAACGTCGCTTCAACCTAAGTCCTTGTGTGCCCGTTATCCCACTGCTCTGTGGGTTCTCTCAAGTTCTTCCCCAAATCCGAGACCCAATAAACCATGAACCATGATGTACAGTACTGCAGTACTGTCTCAGTATCTGTCAGAACGGGTAGTACATGTACCTGGAAAACTTCCCATGCGGATTTGGCACGTGTTATGTTCCACCAACTTAGATAGAATGAATCCACGTACATAAGGAAAGTGCCTTATGTACAGACTACATACACGTATTAGCGCTACAGACTACATATTAGCGCTAGCTAAATGAGCGTGCCGATTGTATGAATAATGTGATACAATTGACCCATGTCCTCTGAAGTACATGCAATATCACACCATGCCCCCCAGTTGAATTCCCTAAAACGCAACTAAAGTATGATGGGATTTCAACTCAACTAACTCAATAAAACGCGATTATTTTTAAAATTATGTCAGAATTCTAACACAAACAGCTCAATTCTAAAAATGCAATTCTTCGTAGTCAATTGTGGCTGGTCTGGCAGTGTCCTATGTTCCTCAGTTTTATTGCCATCCATCGCATACATGTCGAGTCAATCATACCGAAAGTTTCAGTATCTATGAATAAGACTGCCAGCGGGTTGATGTGATATCGAACCTATCAACTGGCCTTCTCTGCCTTTGACTGCGCCGCACCTGGGTTGTCTCAGTCAATGGGAGTGGGGGTTCCGCCGCACTTCTGGGGATGCTGGACCCCGATGGCGCTCTAACAGGACAATCGTCTGTAGGCGGGGGGACATCTGGCCAGTAGGTTTGATATGGGCGCAGAAACCTTCTATTGTGCCAGTACACACGGCCGCTGGTCAGTTTGACATAGTAGTCATGTCGCCTTCCAATGGCGACAACTTGTCCTTGCAGTGTCCACCGCTTGGAACGTGGGTCCTGAATGTCCACCGTCTCGCCGATCTTCAGGTTGCCCAGTGGTCTCGCGGAGGCATTATACCGCGCATCGCTCTGCTCTCGGACTGCCGAACGTGTTTCGTCAACCTTGTCGGCTTTGGCCTGCCACTCCGTAGCAAACGTGCGGTGGTTGGCGAACACAAAGGACTGTAGTGGCCGGCCAAACAATATCTGTGAGGGGCTGCGGCCGTTACCTCGGGGTGTATTCCTCCACTCTAGCAGTCCTCTCCTGAACTCGTCCACGTTCAGGTCTCCTCCGGTGGTAGTCTTGTACACCAGGTGCTTCATGGCTTTGACAGCCGCCTCTGCAGTCCCATTCGCCTGCGGATAGTGGGGGGTTGACCGGATATGACGTACTTGCCATCGTTTACAGAACGCACTTCCCTGGAGGTGAACTGTGGGCCACCGTCTGTGACCAACTCCTGCGGCACTCCGACGTCAGAAAACCACTGGCGAAGCGGCCGGATCACGTCCTTTGATCTGGTACCCGGAGCTAGACGATCAATACACGGCCAACCGGATAAATGATCAGTGTAGACGATATAGCTGTTTCCGCTGCAGCTGAAAATATCTACACTGGCATGTTGGTAGGGCAGGGTTGGCACTGGGTCGCGCAGCAGGGGCTCCTTTTGTTGCGACGATCGGTAGCGGCGGCATTGGGCCAGTTCCTGACCATATTGTCAATATCGTTTGACAGTCCTGGCTAGTACACAACTTGACGTGCCCTCTGCTTCGTTCGTTCCTGGCCCTGGTGTGATGCGTGAAGATCCTGCAACACAGTGTGGCGAAGTGGCTTTGGTATCACTATCTGGCAACCCTTCAAGATGATGCCGTTCTCAACAGACAAAGAATGCCTCACGGACCAATACGGCTGGATGCATTCTGGCAGCGGGTTCTGTGCGTTTGGGAACCCCCGCTCCACAGTTTCAATGAGCTGTTGGTAGGCATTGTCGGCCCGTGCTGCTTCCTGGAGCTGCGCTTCTTTGCAGCTTGAGAGAATAGGCTGCTTATCGTCGCCACAGAGGGTAGTAGCCGACGCCACTCGACCGCAATCCTCGTAGGGCAGTTCCCCAATGGCAGTGTCCTCCTTAGTCGGCTGACCAATCGGCGAGCGGGACAGTGCGTCTGCGATAGCGTGGTCTTTTCCCTTGCGCCACGAAACCACGTACTGGTACCCCTGCAACTTAAGCAACATTCGCCGAATGCGGGGATTTTCGATTTCCATCAGTGAGTACCATTCATAATGGGAATGAGTGGCTGATGGTCGGTTATCACCTCGAATTTCGTCCCGGAGAGATAGACATGACATTTCTTCATTGCCCAAGCAATAGCTAGTAGCTCTAATTCTATCATCGCGTATCGTGATTCGGTATCTGAAATAAAACGGCTGCCGCATTGAATCAATCGCCAATTTCCTCCTTGCAACTGTAGGAGTGCATAACCGAGACCGTTATTTCGAGAGGCATCGGTTTCCAAGCGAGTGGGGGCACCAAACTCATAGTACGCCAGGGTCGGTGTTCGCAACAAGGAAGATTTGATATTCAACATTGCGGCATCATGATCCTGGTTCCAAAGGAACTCAGCATTTGCCTTCAGCAGACTCCGTAATGGCTGCGTCAATTTGGCGATTTCATCGCTGAAATCACCGAATTGATTAACCAAACCCAGATATGAGCGGAGATTAGTGCGTGTGGTCGGGGTCGGAAATTGTCCCAATGCCGACGTTCTCTCTGGGTCCATACGCCATCCGCCTTCGCTGACGAAGTACCCGCAGAACTGAACCTCTGACTGAGCGAAAGCGAATTTCTTCTTTGAGAATTTGATGCCATTCTCTCGCGCACACTGCAAAACTGAACGGACACGCTTTACATGATCATTGAAGGTCGCGTCATGCACCAAACAATCATCTACAACCTTTGCAAAATTGCTGATGCCCTCGAATGCCTGATCCGTTCACTGGTTAAACTCATCCCCCGCCGCGACGAAACCCTGCGGATTTCGAAGGAAACGGTATCGCCTCATGGAGTGATACATGTGGTTAAATGACGCGATTCAGGTGCCAATGGTACTTGCCAGTACCCATGATGGGCATCAAGTGTGGTTAGGAAGCGGGCATTCTCAAGATTCACAATGGTGCAGTCTCGCGGGGTGCGCATGGGGTGCGTTGGTCGTTGAACCTGTGAATTGAGCTTATTCAAGTCAATTGTGAGGCACTTTTCAGCAGTGTTCTTTTTGTCAGCCAGCACGATTGGGTGGCACTAATCACAAGGCTCGCTCACTGGTTCAATGATTCTTTCCTTCACCATCTGATCAAGCTGTTCCTTGACCTGATCACGGGAAGCAAACAGAATCGCTCGAGCTCCGTTAGCTCTGTATGGTGTGGCGCCGTCATTGAGCTTGATAACCATCGGCGGACCTTTCATGGCTGGCACCGCGTCGTCGCTAAACACATCAGCGTATTCCTTAAGAATACTCCAGTCTCGGATCAGTTCGACTTCACTCCGCTCCTCGGAGTTGGGCATTTGGCTGGGAGCAGGACGCAACAGAGGTAGCGCACTTCTTGGCCAGTCTGCCGGAAGTATTCCGAGTTTCTTCAGACTCTGCCTAGATAGCAGCGGGCATTGCAACCCCTCATACAGGTGGATCTGTGTTGCGATCTGGCGATCACCGACCGACAGCAAAGCCGTGACCATGCCTATGTTCGTGAGGCGACCTCCATTGGCATTCAGAACAACACTGGGGTCCAGGACAAGGTCACATTCCTTGCCTCCCAGTTTCCGAAGTCCATCCAGGTTTATTGCATCGACGTCGCTGCCTGTATCGGGAAGCCATCTGAGCTTCGCTGCCGACCTTGGGTCATGGTTGTCCAGGCACGTTGGTATCTCGATGCGATCATTGTTGCCGCTGAAGTTTGCGACTTGCAGCCGCAAGTGACCAAGCTGGGGTGCATCCGCTGGGCATCTTCTCTGGAAATGTCCCTTCTCACCACACGAA